GGTTTGCCATCACTATATAAGAAGAGATATTGAGAATATTGAACTGTTGCAAATATCTAGCCTGACTCAAAGCTGTTCAGGTGAAAAATTTGCATTGCAGAGTTCACTGCAGGTCTGTTACTGTAAGTGGTAATAATATTGGTTAGGAATCTTACCTTAAAAGACAAAGTAAATAAGAGAACTGCTGCATTTAGTGATAATCCAGCATAGTTTCAGCTTGTTTCCTTGTGTGTTTCAACCCAAGGAAAAAGTGACTTGTGTTTCTTTGTTGAAACGGTAAAGCCCCAGGTGTTTTGTCCAGGTATTTACAAGTACACACCAATACATAATAAAAGGAGCAGAAGTGCAGTAAAAACATTGTATATTCTGTTAAAGATTAAATCAGTTCAAAAGAGTTGATAGAATCAGGAAAAATCTACTTTGCATAATGATGTAAATACCAAGAGATACTCTTGGGTGTATAATGGCAACAGAAGTGATGTCAGAACCATTTCCCCTGGTTTTTTTCACTTCATGGGTTTAAAAAAAAAAGTTGAAGATCTAGATAATTTTTAAAAGATGTGCTGTATGACAAATGTCAGAAATTATTCCATTCCATATACATTGAGGGAGGGGGAGGAAAGGCTCCTTGCCCTATTTAGTTCAATTAATAATGAACATTAATGAATTACGTTGTTTATTGCATTTTTTATCTTGTACATCCAGCACTTGAGCAGGCAGGTGGAAACAGTCTAGCTGTATTTTACTGACAAATTTCTCTGGGTATACAGTGTGACTGTTATGAAGGTACCATTAGATAAGTGAATAGTCATTCTATAATATATCTTCTGCTATTTGCACATATGATAACAGATGAGCATTATTTACCTGCTTTTCTGGAACAGCAGATCGTGTTCCTTTGTACAGGGGATGTTAAGTGAATTAAGCACATGAGCAGTTAGCCCATTTGCTTGGGGAGGCTGGTGTTGAGACAAGGGGGTTATGGCAGGATACGGAGCAGCCTGGAGGAAAAATACTCTGGATGTAACCGTTCCGGTAGAAGAACTGAATTGAAATGGGGACACTGTTAATTCATGTGTAATTATATTCCTTTGTTGTTAAAAATTAAATCCTGGACAAGCGGAATGTTTGAGCCTGGAACTGTGTTTTGAAGCAAATTTGAGCTGATGTCTTTACAAAAACCTTTGGAGATTGCCAGGACATAGTCACCAGGAGGTAGTTGCCTGATGGACATGTTTATCTTCTTTTATTGTCTAACTTTTCGGTGAGTTTATCAGCATCTTTCATCATGCAAGTTATTTATTAAATATCACCTACTACAAAGTTTTGCTTCTCTTCCTCTCTTCTCTCCACTAAACCACAGCTTGAGGAGAGGATTCACCATGCACTGTTCTTTCATGTGCAGCCTCCAGGTCAGCCATCAGGAATTCCTTTGAGGCTGACATTTAAATCTGCACAAAAATCTTTGCTGTTCATTGTGCTTAATGTGATCGCTATCATAGGACCAGAGGCCCCAAACCCCTCCTCACAGAAGTAATTCTGCAGGAGTCTCAGCAGGGATGCGGGTTGCAAGAGATTTGTATCTTAAAAAAATTTTGCATGTGTTCTCTGCTACATGGGTAGCATTCTGCAGCATTTCTCCCTGTAAAGTACATTTTTAAATGGTTTTATGTTTCACATAATGACTATTCTACCAACATCTCTGCCTCCCTCTCCCTGCCCCCACCAGATGTTGGTTTTAACTGCATTTTTTTTAATGTGAGGAATTCCCTTACACTAGGAACTCTGAAATTATTGCATCTGAAGAGTACTCCCCTTTTTGCTCTTTTTCTATCAGTGTGCCATTCTGATGCATCTATTTTGGATGTCAGTCATTCATATTTCTACGCCAGGATGTAAGTTCACCTTTTCACAGGAGTATCGGGTATCCAGATGTTTTTCTCAACTGCTTGTTTCTCTGGTGCTTGTCCCTCCCTTGTCCCCTCTTGTACTGGTATGTACTTTAAAATACTGGACTTCATTATTTCAAGTGGCGCACCGGTGTGGTGGCTGAGTTTGGCGTCCTTCGTACAGGCATAACATGCAGAAATGATTGTGTTAGCTTTTGCTGTGTGTGCAGACAAATGAAGCATAATATCTCTGTCCAGGCTCCGAATTACCTAAAAGATTCTTTATGTAAGCATTTCAATCTGCGTTGCTCATGGCTTTTCAACCTATTAGACTTCCTGTCAGAGAGTGCTGGCACCACGGAACAACAGGGCTCGCAGGCTGGCTCTGTACTTTATTGCGTGTTGTCTTTATTGTATTTGTGGGGTTTATCATTATTTCACTACAAATCTTCGCAATTTTTTTTAAGTCCTGTGTTAACCCCGCAAAGTTGTAGAATTCGGTTAAGAATTAAAAGGCTTTCAAAGCATCCTTGTCCTGACACAACTCTGCAGGATATGAATAAGTAACAAATGGATTGTTTTTCAGTCAAAATGAATCAGCTGACATGAGCTTCCCTGTGAAAAATCTGGTTGAGTTTTTACAGATACCTGTCGGGTTATATTTCTCCCTCTTAAGTTGTACAAGAATTTAGATTACCTTGAATTGATGATCATAGGCTGAATCGACCTCTGAAATAAAAATCTTCTTGAACCTTGTGAGAAGACAAAAATGTATGGGATTCTGTGTTAGAGAGGATGTATTTTGTCTGTGTTTTTACAGTATACATTTAGCATGACACTGGGTTGATTAGATGATTTCCTGAAGTCACAGTTTAGTTCTTCAGGGTCCAACTATGTCAGGTTTTTTTATAAATACAATGTGCAGTCAGAAGCCGTACTGGTATTTATGGTTGTTGATTCACAATAATTCCAGACTAGATAAAGATAGATATTTAAAGAAGATATCAGATGATTGAAGATTTTGAGGAAATACTGCTTGCAGTTTCATTTTTAAAATGTTTTTTTTCTTATATGTCAGTCCATGATAAATATGTGCATAAAATTATTATTGTCATGTATGTTATAATTATACCTTGTACAAACACATGGTTATAATTTTCGTAATAAATACCTCCAGTATAAGTTGTACTGTGGCATAATTAACCATCACACTTCCTTTTCAACATCTTGTTACTTTCAGTATAAATCTTCTGGAAGGACCATAAATAATAGGTGGTCTTAAGTAGCTTTTCTTTTTCCCTAATGTGACCTTAATTTAGGGGATAATAGGATCTTCTTTTTCAAACTTCCTTAGAAAACACTCACTTTAGAAGTGAAAAACTTTGCTTTTTGCTTCTGATAGTTAGAGTCCCAAATCTGCTCAGATTAAACTAATCTGATCTTTCTGTTTGATGTCCTCATTCAGCTTTCTTGCCTCTCTTCCATCACTGCAGTGTCTTATTCCTACCTGGCGGCTTATAGGGAGGTGGCTGAAGGAGCTCCATTGAATGCTCTTTCAGAAGTTTGGCCGTATATTCCGAGTTGTGTTCTCTCTTTAACATCTGGCAAGTGTGAAAATTTAAAGTTGAGTGTTTTCACCGGGGTGTTGAGCATTCCCTTACATGCTTTCCTGTAAATCTGTTATTTTTCCATCAGCGGGAAGCTTAGAAGTGTTGGGAGGTAAGTACTGGTCTTCAGCCTGCTTTAGCTTTGCGTGAACCCCACGTGCCAAATTTTTAGTACGTGCCCCGCCATGTGGTCGATGAAGTCTGTTTGCTGTGGAGACCGGGATAGCTGCTTCCAGTACTTCCCTACTGAGAGACTTGCAAACAAGCTGGGAGAAGGCACTGAGGAGAACTGACAGCTGTGAGGTCAATCCCGCAGCTTTGGCAGTTAGTGTGTGAAAAGGTCCTATGGAAGCATTGGTGATGATGCTTTGATATTAATCTTGAATACCTCTAAAATGTTCTGTATTATTAAACTGATAGTGGTGATGTTTATTAATGGTACCGCTACGGGAAGGTAACGAGACACCTTCAGAGCCCTCTGGTAGAAATGTTTCAGGATCTTGTGCTATGATTTCTGAAAGAGCATGGTAACAGAGAACATTGGGAGGTCTCGGGAGAAATTAGGCAAGATAATGTAATTGCTGAAAAATTAACACAAGTCACAGCTGTATGATAAAAGCTTTAAAAAGTTTTTTCAAACCATATAAAGTAAAGAGAAAAACTAAAAGCGACTCCCCAGGCAGGGCTGAAATAGATGCATTGTATCTGCTGAGGCTTAGCCCTGTAGTATTTGTCATAATTTGAAAGTTGAAGTTACTTTAAAATTTATAGTTGTTTCTAAAATATTCTTGAAAAACAACTTCAGATTCTGTTTCCTGAAAGTGCAAAAGTTCCACTAAGTACAGTAGGTTTCCTTGTTTTCATGTGTTAATTCTGGTATTCTAAAAGCGTGCAAATGGCATTTGTCTTTGGATTTACAAAAACTCTAGATATTCAGAGTTTGAATTATTTAAACTCCCACAACACATGCACTTTTGCTTTTCAAGCTTGAGTTATAATTTAATTAAAAACTTCTGGTGCATCGCTAGCTATTTAAATATTAAAATGTTCCATGGATCACTTTCGATTATCTACCGTCATGAAATTCCTGAAGATGTCAGATTTTTAAGATTCCCAAAGTTGCACTTGGAATTGTCTGTTGATGCAAAGGGGACTGTGATAATTACATACATCCATTAGTATCAGTAGAGGAGATAAACTTTGGGGAGGCTTAATGGGCATGTCTCAGTGACAGCTAGCAAAGAACATTTGGCATGATTAAGGATGGATTTGAATGTACTTGAAAATATACTCTCATTATGGACGCCCAGTGGAAGTTGCACTACAAATGTTAAATTCCCCAGAAGAAGAGTTGTGTGGCAGGGAAGCTTTGAAATCCACTGTGGCCGTCATCCAAATTACTCTCTTCTCTTTGTGTCTTTCCGCTGTCAGATTCACTTTGTGATGCCCAACTTGGCTCCCTGCATCTTTGAAAAGAGGCAACCTGTTGGTTTCTGTGTTTCAGATTGTCCGAAGATACATCAAGGACTGGCTTGAAAGGAAGAAGCCTCCATTTGGTGCTATCAGCAGCTGTGTGCTCCTGATGATCATCTACACAACGTTCTGTGATACTTTTGCCAATCCAAATATTGACCTTGATAAATTTAGCTTGATTATAATAGTGTTCATAAGTAAGTTCAGCCTTAAAGCATCTCTTTTTATCTCTGTTTCAGGTGTGTAATGAGCTGTATAGTGAGGCTATGGGGATACTGGCATGGGGCTAGAGCTTGTGCTTTTAATGCGTCTGGTAAACCAGCTTACCAGACTTCTTGGGGGCTGGATGCTTTTAGGGGATTGAGTAAGCATTTAGAGAGGGATGAACCCTACTATTTAGGTGTGCCTGAGATCGCTCAGTGGTCCTCCTTGTCTAAAGGGGTACGGTATTACTTTCTAGGTGTTTACGACCATTCTGTTTTGGTTTCTTTGTTGTTTAACAACCATGAATGCAGAGATGTTGCATTACAAACAGAAAGGAAAGATTTGGGTTTGAGCTGTTACTCAAAAGCACTGTTATAATTTTAGATAGTTCTTCCTTACCATATTATACAGCTAGAAACTAGTTGGGAATTTGAATGTATTGATATATTTCTGTGGATCAACACATTTTTTGCAGAGTTTGTTTTAGAAGCACTCTAGTCATTCAGCCTTAAATAACATACACATGAGAATAGACTGCTGGTATCCTTCCCATGAGTTAAAAATACACTTGCAGATTACCCCCTCCTGGGGAAAGGCGGTGGTATAGGGGCACTGTCTCCTCTCCCAGAAGGGAATTCCCACCTTGCTTCACACTGTCCAGAGACAGGAGTTTAAATTTGCTTGGGGGAGAGGTAACTACAGTATGCTACAGTATAAATCTTGTCTCATACACTCTAAAACTGTTAGATTTCAAGAAATCAATGCATCACCTACCTTGAAGTATGTGTATTTGCACGTGTTTCTATCAAATAAATATAACGTATCTTCTATAAATCCAACCTCCACTAAAGTCAGTTGGAAATCTGCCCCTGCACTTTGTGGGTCAGTTCTTATTCTATCCTAATTGTGGCAGTTTTTTAGATCATGAAACATTATACATGTGTAAAATACTACATGGAATTATAAACGGTACCGTATAAATACTTTATTCTGAAAGCAAAGAAAGGAGCCATGCAACGGAGCTTTTCTTTTTCCAATGGAGGAGATACTTGTTTGCATGGGCACCTGAGAGGGATGACATCCCAGGTGCACTTAAATCAGTGCAAAGTTGTCAGCAAAAGAGAGAAAGGTGGAAATTTTTAACTCTGACTTAACATGGAGAGAAACTCAGAACGAAGTAATTTTATGTTTTGTGCTGACCGCTACTTTGGAAAAAAAAAAAGTTGGTTTTTTTTTACTTAAAAAGGCATATTCTTCCTTTCACAGTTGGTGTAGAATGGTTGCTTCCATTTGCCTTTCTTGTCCCTTTTTTTATTTCTCTGCAAGACAACTCTGCATCTGTGCCATGTGTAATTATATATACCACTTGCAGTGCAATACTCTGAAAATCATTATATATACATTTTCATTGCCAGTGTGCACAACTGGAGTTTCTTAGTAAGAATATTAACATAAGCATTGGATCTGCTTGGAACATATTAGGCATTTGGTTTTTTCTAAAATATTTATAAAAAACCAAGGAAGTTGTGGAGATGGATATGCACATTGTATTCTAGAAAAAGTTTCTGTACCACCATTGGATGTGGTGGCTGGATGCGTGTGTTGTGTTATACCAGGATGTGAAATTACCACGAGGAGTTTGAGATGAAACTGTATTTATTATTCTGCTGATTAATGTTTTTATGTAATTTTTATGTTAATATTCTAGCCACAGCAAAATATGCACAAGGGATAATTGGTAGCAACACATACTTGTTGCTTTACAGAATTATTTTTATTAAGGGATTATATTTTTTCTGTGCATATTAAATTAATGTAGTCAGTTGCAGAAAAATTGTAATTCAGGAACAATGGATTGCTTCCTTAGTTCATGAAGAAAGAATTAAATGCATGCTGTGGTGACATTTATACATCCTAGGAAATGTATGTAAGAGAATGGAAAATGTCACTGGTAATAGCTAATATCCCTGCCACGTTTCCCAGTTGTAAACTGGGGTCAAAATCAAATGTATTGTCTTGGCTCACACTACCCTATGCGACACGTTAACCTTATTGCATTCACAAGTTTTGCAAGGAAAAGGGAGAGGACTCACCCCAGATTCTGCTGCAACCAAAAGCCCTTCCCCCGTAACCCACAAGCACCCAGAAGAGGTCTGTGCAGGTCGCAGGGTTTCTCCTCCAGCTCTCTGGGGTCGCTCGGTCTCTGCAGTCCCAGCAGCTACTCACGGCACAGCGGGGAAGCCCCCTGCTTCTCCCCACGTCTCCGCAGACCAAGGGTGGGCTCTGCGCATCCCACAACCTCTGCAGGTGTCAGGAGAGCTGGCAGAGGGGAGAGCTCCCCTCGGGATGCTCAAAAACCGTCTGCGCTGACAAAGCTGACAGCTTGAACGAAAGCTGCTTTGTCTGATGTGCACTGCCCAGTTCAGGAATTAGCCTTTGTCTCAGAGGGAATTAAAACGTCTATGATGGTCTTCTCTTAACAGTGATCATTCACAGGGAGAGTAATACCCAGTGCGTGAAAATATTTATTGTAATTGTGCTTACACACTCTACTTTCTCCTGTTAAATAGAAAGGGGCTAAATTTAAATACTTTGCAATCGGAGCATGTCTGAGAGATTTTATGTTGTCAACCCAATAAGCAAACCTAGTGCAAAGAGATACTCAGTAGTGAACTTCCCTGCCATTCATTGTGTCAAGAAATACTTGATTCAGAAGAGTTACCTCAGGAGGAACTCATGTAGCCACAATATTAGTTCTAGCTTTCTTGGATATAATGATACGTATTGTTCTTCCAGACGTGATTGTCTTTAAAGGTTGTCTGTCATTGGATTTCTTTAGATAGCCTTGGTCCAACGTAGCTTCTGACCTGTTGTATGGGGGCAAAACACACGTACGCAGCAATTGCAGAGATTTTAAGTGATCTTTACTTCTGTCATCGAAGTCTAATTTTAACTTGTTTCTCTTTCAGTTTTTTCTGTTCAGATGAGCTTCATGTTTTTGACTTTCCTCTTCTCTACAAGGTAATTGAATGTGCTGAGTCAGAACCTTTGAATATTTGTTTTGTGTGATATCTTTGGTTTGGGTGATACAGTTTATGCAAATGTGTAAGGGCAGGTTTCTGAATAGGGGTGACCTCATTTTGGTATTTCATATTGTCCTTAGTGCATTTTCTCTGTTAGAGTTTCATAGGCTAAGAGAGCAGGACCTGAATTCTGTCCTTTCTTGTGTGTTAATTACAGAGTTGTTAAATCTCAATCAATCACTGCTATACCTCATCCACTGAAAAAAATGGATTTGCACAGATGTCACTGAAGGTATAATTTGCCCTGCAGACATGCTGATGACATATGAGAGAGAGAACTCAGTTTGACTTTTTACATCTCAAGATACATTTGCCGGGCTGGCAACTCACTCTTTTCTGTATATGTCAAATGTGTTACGTTTATATGGTGATTCTTAAAAGACAGTTGTCCTGAACTAATGTTTGGTAGAGCTTTTTTTTTTTTCTTTTTAAATATCCACCAGGAAGAACAGTTGTACATTAACTTCTCAAAAAATAGTACCGTGAGAATGGTGTTAGCCAACGGCTTAGTGCATCACTTGAGCTGGTCAGAGTATCCACCATTGTCCTCTCGCTTAGGCTTACTGGAGTATTTTTCTTAGCAGCACTCTGCTGAATGGGAGGTGCCACAGTACAGCAGATTCCAGGCATACGCTTTATATAAATTATACAATATCCATAAGGGAGAATCATGAAGAAGGGTGCAATGTCTTAGAGCTACTTATGCTTTTTTAGTGCCACTAGAAAATTTCTCTGTGACAGGATCATACCCTGACCTTAGAAGGCAATTTTTTAAATAACTTTTGATCTGCTAGATCTAACCAAAATGCTCTAAGTAGTAACCATCTCAGACAGTATGGTAAATATTTAGAATCTCATAAAATGATTTCTGATTTGGACCAAAGGGTGATCCATTGGCCAGTCATATACCTCTCTCTGTATGTCACTTTTCCACCCTTCCTTACTCCCAGTGTGTAAACCCTTGGATGCAGTTTTTCTCTGAAGTGGAAGATAACTTCATATTCTAAGCAGTGCTCATAGCATACACTCAATATACTATCTAAACTGAGTGTTTTGTTAACATTACATACTAGGAAAAGAAATCGTAGGTCATTCTCTTTTTTTGCAGAGGCAAGGGGGGCACTGCTGTGATATAGCGTGTTTGCAAAAATAAGCTTGGCTTGGAATAAAGTTGTGTCCTACATGTCATGTCTTCAGAATTCCTCTCCTTCACTAGAGCATATTCACTAGAGAGTTTGCCACAACTGAGAAACAATTCTGCTTTAATAAAAAAAAAAAGAAATCAAACACTACTGTTCATTTGTAGGTAGAATTATTTCTGTCACTAGACCTGATCAAAGTGATGTGAATGTGCATATGGATCCTCAAAGTAATATATTTGATCGATGATGTTTTAAGAAGGTTTTTGCTATCAGAGGTTATTAAAACTCTTTCTTTTCTAGGAATAACTCTGGTTTCACACCAGCAGACACAGTGGCTATCATTTTCTGTTCCACACACAAATCCCTCACTCTGGGTAAGTCAGGAGATAAGCTTTTGAACAAAACAGTAACATTCATACCTTGCTGTGTTGGAAAAAAAAATGTTGCTGGTTGCTGGCTTTTCTGCTTAAATGATTTTGGTTTTAGCGTGACAAGTAGTGCTACCAGTATGATACTAATAGTAGGATAATATTCTTGCACAGATAAAATAAATGCTTATTACAAGGCAGACAACATAGTCTTCTCAGCTGAGATTTTAGTGGTTATACAGTAAGACCCCCTTATTTATGGAAAGCTGGATTTTTCTTTCTGTTCTTATGGAGTTCTGTTGCCTAATCCAATATTGATAAAATTTCAGGTTCGTTACTACAAACATTGTGAGGTACATCTGCCCAGTTTCACAGTAAAATCTTACACCTAAAAGCTGGGATGTACAAGTGAAAATCAAAGCATGTAGTGTATTCAGAAATCACAAATCGACAATACTGTCTTTTGCTTAACATGAGCAAAATGCATGTGTTTCTTTTAGGTCTTCAGATATTTTGGAGAGTTTTATTTATTAAAATTAATTTATCAAAACATTATCGAGATATTTGTCACTTATGACCCCTTAGTGATAATAAGATGTTCTGATGGAAATTCACAAAATACTGCTAAATCAGTTATGCTTACAGCCTCTTGGTACTGCTTCATCCATTATGTTCAGTCAGTGAAACGACTAGTACTTGAATATTTTCATACTGTTTTTTCAAAATATGAAAATGTGTTTGATAAAGCATATGTGGCTGAATATACGCCTTTTCAAGACTGTATCTGTCAAAGAGAAACACAGCTGGTGTCAATAACAAAGGTAAGAACTCAGCCTGAAACAGGGGAAGAGCAAGTCGGGACTTAGGTGAGATGTTTTCCAAGTCAGTTTGATATAGCGAAACTCATCTCAGGGTTCTTTGCTTCAGCCAGGCCTGTGCTGCACAACTGTTAGCAAGTGCCCTTGAAGGTCTGTGGGAAGTGAAGGAGTTCCTGGAAGACAAGAAAAAGGCAAACATAATGCCTCTTTTTCACAATGGAAACGAGGAGGGGACGAGGAATTATAGATCAGTGAGTTTAACTTCATTTTGTAGAAAACTACTGAAACAAATAATTAAATAAATTATTTTAACAGTGTAGGAAGAAACAAGGAAATGAGTAACAGCCCTGTAGATTTGTCAAATGCATATCATAGCAAACTAACCTAATTTCCTTTCACACAAGGTTCTGTGGGTTGCAGAGAAGTAGCAAAAGTTGTATGGCTTGAGAGCGTTATGGCTTTTGACACTTGCATGATGTTTTGGGCTCCACAATGCAAAAAATTATGTGGACCAATGGGAAAGACATCAGAGGAGAGTGCCATGAATGATCATAGATCTCAAAAACGTGACCCCAGAGGAAGGTCGAAACAATTGGGATTGTTGAGAGAAGACAGCTGAAATACAGTAGTGATCTTCAAATGCATAAAAGGTTGATGTAAAGAAGGAAAAAAAGTAACTCTTTCACAGTGAACTTTGAAAAGGGAAGGAAGGACTTTGTTACAGTGATGATAATTTAAGCTAACAATCAGGGAAACCTGTCTAATGTAAAACAGTTTAGCTTTGGAATATGTTGCCAGTTGATGTCTTGAATCTCCTATCATTGTAGACAAGCCTCAGACTGGAATTAAATGGCTAGAATTGATCCTGCCTTGGAGCAGAACATAGATTAAATGACATTAGGTCTTTTTCAGCCAAACATTCTATGCAACTGAAGCTTTAACTAATAAATGAGCTTGTATTCAGGAGGACAGTTACACTTGTATTTACAGAAAGCAACCCCACATATAAGTCATAACACACTACTGTACTTGCTATTTGGAGGTGTGTATAAACTCAGGACACAACTGTGAATCTATAGAAGAGAAGCTGGTTGTATTTAACAGCACGAACGTGTAAGTCTCCCCTCCCAAGTTTTATATGCACTCCGTTGAATACTTCTGCAGCTTGCCATCACACTAAGAAAATAAGCACAAAGTTGTTTTTTCTTAATTTAAGTCCTAGAGGGGCTTGCCATCTCCCAGAAAAAAATGAGGACTCTTCATTTCTTTTACTCACGCTACCAAGCATCCTTAATGCATCCTGTCTTGACCTGCACCCTATGCACACAGCTGAATCGTTCACTTTTCTTCTGCTAGTACACTCTCCTTTTTTATTTTATTTTCTCCTTTACCTAGTTTGAGGTTCTTAGCTTGCTTGACTTTTTAGCTCACGTTTTCTCAATTCCAAGTTACTGCTGTTACTAGCACAGCCTGATGGATCAGGCTTTGTATTTTGCAGCTTTGTTTGCCCAAGCACACCAACAAAATTACTTTGGCCACCTTGACTTCAAGGACTCCTACAGCTTCTCCCCAGCCATACATACTTTCACTCCGCTAATACAGATGTCTCATATGTCTCATAGATAAGCGTGGCAGTTGAAATGAAACAGGTAGACGGTGGAACGCAGTATTGTGCGACTGTTTCTCAGCTACACTGTTCTGTTTGTCAGCTTCTGTTTGACTGCTTTACCTTCATCCTTGAAGAGCTGGTGTCTCATGGAAAGCAAGTTTGCCTCCTAGGAGGCTAGTCACAAGGTGTAATTCATTCTTAGGCTTTACACCGTTGCACTACCTTTCCCTACTGCTCAGTGCCTGCCTTGAGATCGCTGGGTGGTTGGGACCTGTGCTTCCCTTGCTGTATTCTATCTCTGGGTCTCAGCTTTGTCAAGGTGTCTTTGAGGCTCCCAGGCTTGTCTTGCGTGCAGCAGCATGTCCTGAATTGAGCGACGTTTCCCTGATGGAGAAATGTTCTTTTTGGTGGTCCTTGGGAACCCATTTTTGGTAAGCCTGAGGGCCCTGCCACTCTTGTGTGCACCCTTACACAGCGTGTGCACTACATAGACGTGCCTGCTGTGTATTTTACTGGTCCAGCATTAGTACCAGGTCTAGATAAGACAGAGCTGCATAAACACACAGTTCAATGTAAATAGGGAGGATCGGGGTTTAGAAAGCTGTAGTGCGATGAGGCGTGCCCCTGAGCTGATGATGTAAACAGGAGTGTTAACCAGAGCGGCTAGCATTTATTCCTTCACTGAAGGTGGAAGCAGAATAAATGTAGTTTGTTTTTAAGGATCAGCCATTTCTGAATGACAGTTAAATCTATCCACAGCGTAGTCTTGTCCACCTTGATCTTAGCAGAAACAAGAACAGATGTAGGTGTTTTGGCCCTTACTCTATTGCTGGTGTCACATTTCTCCTTGTCCAGAGGTGTTTACTGTAAACCACGCAATGAGAAACCTTCTGTCTCTTGTAGCGGAGAGAGTTTTTCCCCTCTCCCTCTGTCATTACGATGCCTGAAAGCACAAACACAGCTCAGGGTCTGGTTTCACATCCGTTGTGGAGCTCTGCTTTGTTTGTCTTCAAGATTCCAGTGGTAGTGTTTAAATGACCCCCCAACACTTGTTCTTTCACTTTGAAACTGATTTCTCTCAGCTTGGCAGGTGAAACTCCAAATAGGTACGTCTGGCCCATTCCTCGGGGAGCTTCCGATGGCACCGACTAAAGTGGGAGAAGAGCTGACAGCTTTAAAGCTTTAGAAGTGGTAATAGGAGAGGCATGAGAAGACTTTTATAAGTCACTTTCTCCCACACGATATTATGAAACCAACTAATTCCCATGCAGTGCATGCTCATGAGGCCAACTGCCACTTCCACTGTTGAATCCATGAATAAGTGCTTGCTTTGCACGGAAATGAGTGCTGTTCCCATATGCTGGGTTTTATTTTGTAGACAGAACAGTTGACACACTTTTTGTCTCAAAGATCAGAGTGCAGGGCATGTTTGTGTAAGGACAAATTACACAGGGTAGGTGCCTTTGTGTTTCTTAGTTAGGAACATAGGCTGATATTTCTGCGTAGAGGTGGGCGCTTTGGCAGTTTTTTTAATATGGTACATCAGATATGCAGAAAAACTAATGTTTATTTGAATTTCACTTAATGAATGAAAATGGATATAAACTTACAAGTGCGAAGGTAAATATAGTATTTGCAATAGCCTCCGGCATATTCACCCGCACTTTGTTCTCTTTCTCTCCTTCTCTCTAGTCACATATATGCACAGTACATGTGAGCGCACACATATGCAGACATTTGATGCATGGCTTTTATTAGTGCATTTGCCATTGATTGATTAGTACTTAGTATTAGTACTTCTTCTATTGATTGATTGCAGATGAAGTGACTATTTGACCTTTAATTATGAGCCTTGCTATTGAAAATGACATTGAGCTATGGCTTCACATAATCCATCTGGAAAGCCCGACATGATGCCATTCCCTGGAGTTCATTCAGTGAGAAGAGAAGAGGCCTCAAGGAAGTGCAAAGCTATCAGTGTGGCTCATCTAAAAAAAATACTGCAGTTGTTGCTTGCACTTATACAAAAGTTGCAGCCAAGTACAGAATGTTATTTTATTTTTTGCAGAGTGAATTGCTAGCTAGAAGTTACAACTCCAAAAGTAAAATGTAAGATTGACAAAAAATATTTTCACTTTAATTTTTTTGTATTTGCTATGTAAAACTATTTTATCAGCAAAAAATACAGTACTGCTACCTATTTTGGCTACCACAAGTGCAAATGTTAGTACTGCAGGTATGATGAACAGCAGACTGGTAAAAAAACCAAACCAAAACCACAAAAATAACCCCACCTCATAATAAAATCATGGTATTGTTTGTGATACACAGTGCATTTTTCCTCATTTGGATTTATCAATGTAGCAGTTCTTTCACCATGGAATTGTTAAAGTAATGCAATCAAAGTTTCTAGGCTACAAAATACTTTTGGGAAAGAACAGAGTTCATCTTGCAAACAGAAGCCAAAGTGCTAACTTTCTTTTGTATTGTTTTAATTTCATTCAGATTTATTTTTTAAATACTCAGCTTCTTACTGCACGAGTATGGAACCGATAGTCTGTACCTGAACAATTTTTGAA